TCAATGATCTCTGTATCCATGCGCTTTTCATCCGATGGATCCACTTTCATGGTTTTGGACCTCCTTTGAGCCCCATGTTTGCTGCGGGTATGTCCAGGAGAAAACCAGAAGACCACCAACAAGCCTAATATAAAGCCACATGCAATCCCCATGGACAGACCGGTTAAATATGGAGACAGAGGGAGAACAAAGAACCCGTAAGCCAGCAGACTTACTGGGATGAGCCAATAAAAAGGCATTGATGATCCTGTGAAAGACGCTGGAGATGTGGGGTAAGTCTTAGGAAGTTTCCCTGTGGATCTATTCTGAGGCTCCTCCACTTGGATTACATCCCCATAGGTACAGATTTCAAGATGCTTGTCACCGTTTTGGGCGTTTTGTTTTGGGAAGACTGAAGATTGCATCAGTATATCTTTTTGGAGTTTTTTGAGTGGAGCATCACACACAGCTCTGTTCTCATTGTCTGTTCTTTTTCTACACCTCAGATCTGGATCATCACTGCTGCCGTCTCTTTCACTGCTACCCTGGAAGGCTGGACTCTCTCCTGTACCAAACCCTCTACCATGTTTGGGGCTCCCAGAGCTCTCGTCCCCCATGATCCTACTCAGCATGCTCAATGGATCCTGCATGGCCTCTGAAAACTTCCTCCTGGTGTCCTCCAGCTCAGCAATCAGGGAGCTGCCTCGTGGCTCTGATGGAGAGATGCTGCAGGTGGACAGAGGACATACGAAGTCCTCAGTTTTGCTCAGCGTCCCTGCTACAGGTCCATATTCCGGGATCTTTGGATGAGTAACCTGCTTCCAGGGATGCAAATGCAGCTTCGAATCAGACTTTGAGAGATTGTTCTCAGGCTCACCCCGGCGCGAGATCTCTGTACTGAAGGACTTGACCAGGCTGAGGAGAGGCTTACCTCTCAGAGTGCTGCTCTCCTTTGGTTTCAAGTCTGTGGAGGAGGATTTGACCAACCCGGTGGAGATAAGGAGGTCTGCTGATGATGCTGTCAAATCGGATAAAGAGCCTGGAGATGAAGGAGAGTGAGGCAGGTAGAGGGGTTGAGAGCGGGGGCTTTGGTTCAGGTCTAGAGTCATCCTTACACTGACATCATGCTGACACTCCAGGGTTTGTGGTTTGTCTTTGGAAAAGACGACAGAGGGACCTTCATCAAGATGGTCCAGGCTGAAAAAAAGCTTGCTCTCCTCCATGATGAATGTAATCCAGAAACTAATTCAAAACCGTAGGTTTAGCTGCTCATAATCAGTTTATTCATTCATTATTTACTCACCCTGCAAATGAAATAAAAAAAGACATGTTAATCTGTGGTTTATGTGGCTAATAAAACTATAGAACATCCACTTTATTGACTTTAAAGGGACTTTACTTTTATCCTGACTGCCCTTGTTTCTTGGCTCCCTTTTTTCTCCTTTTAAACTATTTCTCAGGGAAGCACAGCATTTGAGTTTCCCTTGAGAACGTCAATAAATTGATCCAACTGTGTCTGGATGTGTTTTATCGACACTGCATTGTTTTCTTTGCAGGTATGTTATGTTGTATCTTTTAGTTATGATCATTTCATGTCTGACTAGGAGTACAAAACATAATCTTGTCCTCGGTCAAATGACTTTTGGATCTGATTTATTATAATAATACTGTGCTTAAATCACATGCGGTTCTATGACTTAAAGATTATATCCCATCTGTCTCTTTTCTTGAAAGGGTAACTCCTGAACAAGAGTCAGAATATATATACTGTTTCAACTGGTCAGCACTTGTTTAATACAAAATTATGTTTTCAATTTGTCTACTGCGATTAAAACACATTTTCTAAGGAAGTTTGTATTGGCTGTAAGCCTACATAATTAAATGAATAAATCTGAAATATGTTACTTTATATGAATTCCCTTGTGTTTGAATTTACTGTAATTACTACAAAAATACATGTTTTTGATATTGTATTATCATGAGATTGACCTGTATTTCCATCAGGTCCTTGTTTAAATGACCACTTATATTTAAGTGTGGTCAAAACCTCACTTTGTAACCAATGTGAAAAAAGGCTCACAGCAAATGTGGCCTATTATAGCTCTGAGAGCTCAGCGATAAGAGAAAGCCCTTGAGAGCACACTGATCTATAGAAAGCATTTTAAAAGCGTGTTTCCACTGAACAACCACACATATTCATTATGTCAGATTGGATGAACAGTTTCATAAACTGGAGGTCATGTTTTAGGCTATTTATCAACACTTTTCAACAAATGGACTTAACTGAGGCTGTTAGATCATTTTTATCACATACATTCACTTATTCCAGGTTTCAAAAGAAGTAAAAATACAAAATACAAAAGTGCAAATTCTAATATGCAACAGTGGATAAACTCAGTGATTCCTATCACACTGTAAAGAACCAAGCATTCTTGCATCTTATGCAAAAGAAGCATTATTTTAGTAAATAATAGTGGGAATTCCTTAACAATTTTCATAGCTTACTGGAGGTTCTAAAAACATGTCCCCAATATACAATCAGCAGGATGTTAATTGAAGCACAAACCCACTGGGCTTGTTTTCTATTCAATCTAATTAACTAAAAGTGCTGCTCTGATGACTGTTAAGGTGCTGATGCAGACTGACTGCCATGAGCCTAATCAATTTAGACTCAGGAGTCAATTTGATAGAAGTTTGTGCTGACATTAGAAACAAGACTTTAAAAATTACTGCTGCTGAGTGGAGTCAGCAGAGGCCTGGCAGCTTTCCAGTAACAACTGGGAAATATTTTCTGCTAAGGTAAGAGGAAAGATGGAAAATGTCAAACCTTACCATAAATCACAAAATGTATTTCAATTTTATTTAAAAAAAATCATTTGATTATGCTTTTTCTGTTTTAGATCAATTAGAATGAGCAAAATATTTCGATTTTCTAAATACAAGAATAGAGAACTTTCTTTAAATATAGAGCTCTACATTAACAAAGATGACTGTGTCTTTTTGCCAACATGTATTTTTTCATGTACAGCAATTTAAGTCACCTTGCTACTGTAAAGTGCTATATCAATAAATTTGCCTTGCACCAGATGTTTTCCTTGACAGCATGTAGACATCAGGTTTCAGCTACATGCAGTGATTATGTGAGCACAGTAGGATGAGTGAAAACTGCATAAAGTATAAAAGATATATGGTAGTTTGGAAAGATTCTGTTGATGTATGTAACAACCTGGTTTTCTATTTGTTTGGACAACATGATATTTATTAGGAAATGTGCTTGTTAAAAACCAAAGTGGCTAACTTAAAACAGTGAGTGATCGAGTTTTGATTGTTAAATAATACCAAAGATGGATGAGTAAAGATGTTAATAAAACCAACTAAAAAGTCCTGGAGAACCCATCATTTTAAATTAATTGTTCTTCTTTTACCAATATGCCTCAAAGGTTATGAGTCATGTAACTGCATAAATGAAAATATGTAAGGATCATAAAATAAAATATCAGTTCTTGTGTGGTAGAAATTATCACATTTGCATCTGAAATGGCATGATGTCTGCAGACTTCGAATAAGTGGAACAATTATTCCAAGACCTCTAGGCTCCATGTTGTCAGTAACAATATTTTATGTGCAGTCATAAAGTAACTTGGTATGCTGATTTAATTTCAGCATGGTTTGACTCTATCCTCAAAGGAATTTTGAATTGCAAAACAATAAATAATCAATTAGGTGTGAGATTTTTCTGACTTTACGTAAAAACAAAAATTAAAAAATATATATATGCGTCTTTAAATAAATAAAACAAACAAAGAAACAAGCAGCTATGATGCTGCTGATGCCTTAAAATTAAAAATGCATTTCCAGTACTGCATGGGACAAACTCACGTTTATGTAGATTTTCTTGTTTACTCGGTAACAATCCTCTCTCATTAGATGCAGGAGCGTGCATGAAGCGTGGGATGCGCAGTGTCCAGTCCGCCTGCTGCTGCAGAGCGCACTGAGCTGCTGCTGCGCACTGCAATCCATCCATTTCTGAGGCACAACTTTACCACCCCTGCAGCCCCTTCTCCTCATTAAAATGCAGGTAAACTTAACGACAAAACATTAAACCCTTTGCTTTACATGCATGGCTGCATAAGCATCAATCCAGGTCAGTTCATAGATCCATTAGGGGGAATCCTGACTCTTTAATCCAGATTATGCTATCGGCTGCTCCTCCTCCTCCTTTCTGCTGCTTCAGCGTCAAAACACGGAGTTCATTCCAGCGACACTGCAGTCCTGTACGCAGACTTATGTAAGTGCATGACCTGGAGAATTCAGGCATGGCTAAAATAGTTGCAAACCCAAAAACACCTCATTTAGACATTTATCACAAATGAAAATCAAGGAGCTCAAACGGGTTTTGACGTTTCTATAGTCAGGATTACATAAAAAGGATGATTGTTTCCTTTTTAATCCATTTCAGCATGTGAGCCTAAACTTGCATTTCTTTGCATTCTATAAAAAAAATAGCTTGCAGCCATGTGGATCTTAAATCTTCCATTAGTTAATGAAAACTGTTTTTTTTGTTTGTTTGTTTGTTTTTTTTGTACGGTAAAAAACAAAATTATTCGTAACGCTGGCATGTTATTTTTAGTTTAGTTTTATTCTGATTGAAACAAACAATACAGCAAAATTTAACAAGAAAAATAAATATTTTGGAAGGTTTATATTTGTTTTGTTTGGTTATTGTTCTCAGATGTGACATTTTATTCTCCACTGCGATCAATTAAATGTAAAAAAAAAAAAAAAAAAAAAAAAAAAAAATGCAGATACCTGTCTCTGTAAAATTATGAAATGTATTTTATTACCTCAACATCATTGTCATAACTGCGGATCTTTTTGCATGTCAGTTTCAAAAAAACAGTAGTCATTTTTTTTTAGATGCATTAATAAAGTTTTTGACTCATATTGTTGTAAATATGACGCCAGAAAGATCCTCACTAGAAATAGTTTATTTTGAAATTCACACCGGACCGGAAGTTACGTTTCTCGCGTTTTGTTTCAGTGCGGCACAGAAGTAGTTCACCCGCAGCGATGTCGTTTTGCTCTTTTTTCGGCGGAGAGGTCTTTAAAGACCACTTCAAACCAGGTATGTTCTTCATTACATTTGATTCTTTCAACTGATTTTAACATTTTCCGCACAGTTTGGTTTGCTTTTCGTCTGCCGGTAGTTATGTCATTGCTTGCGTCATGCGCTATGTAACTTTTAAAGTGCAAAATATGAGAAACAAACTCTTATTTCCTGAATAAAAAGGTAAAAAAGAGAAATAGCTTTCATCTTTTAGAAAGATATTAGATTAATTGTAGACACAGACCCTTTTAGCGGCTGTGGTTTTGTAACGCGTTACATCAGAACTCTTACAAAACTAGATAATTATTAGACACATCAGTCCAGCCAAAACAAACACATTTTTATTCTTAGAAATTATATAACATAACATGTAAGGTCGCTATTCTTGTAATAAAAAGATCCCTTTGATAGCTAAATTCCATTTGAAGGGCTTTGACTTGGCCATTCTCATTCATAAGGCTTTTCCTTGATCCAAATAATTGAGCTCCAGCTCTGGCTGTTTTTTTTTGTTTTTGTTTTTTAAAGATTGTTATTCCACAGAAAGTCAAACCTTTGCCCAAATCTCTAGTCTGTTCTGCCAGTATCACCAGTTCCATCTATCTTCTAGTCAACTTCAACCATTGTCCCTTTTCCTGCTGACAGTAAAGTTTCCCACAGCATCATGCTGCCACTACCACCTTTAACAGTGTGGATACTGCATTCAAGATGCAGGTCTGGATGTCTAGAACACGTCCTGTTTTATAATAATAATAATAATAATGCATTTTATTTTAAGGCACCTTTCTCTGCACTCAAGAACATCATACAAAGATACACAAAATAGAAGAAACAGCTATAAAATCCCACAAAATAGACTGTGGCTATGGAAATATAAATAGACCTCAGATTGAAAAGGTAGTATTAAACAGATGTGTTTAGAGTTGAGTGTTGAGTCAATGTTTCTGAGTTGGGATGGTAATGAATTCCAGAGAGCAGTTGAATGCTCTGCTCCCACTGGTACTAAGACGGGCAGAGGGGACAGATGGGTATATGGAGGAAGAGTGTCTGAGGGAGCAGGAGGGAGTGGGAACATGGATAGGGTGAGACAGGTATGGGGGAGCAAGGTTGTGGATGGACTTAAACGTTAGCAGGAGGGTTTTGCACTGAATGCGGAACTGAACTGAGAGCCGGTAGAGCTGTTGGAGGATGGGAGTGATGCGGTGAATCGAGGAGGTTCGGGTTATGTGTTTCTAGGAGGCTAAACGTTTCATCTTAGATGCAACCAAAGCATCCCTCCACATGTTTGCAAACCTTAAATAATGCTTTCCTCATTGTGTAGCATGGTAACAAATGTGTAATGACATGAAAAAGATGATGGAGTGGGGATGCTTTGCAAAGTTTCTTTCCCCATGTGATCATTTTTTTTTCCTTTTTTCTTCTCAGGGATTTATGTTTGCTCCAAGTGTGACCATGAGCTGTTCTCCAGTCGCTCCAAGTATGAGCACTCCTCTCCCTGGCCGGCCTTCACAGAAACCATCCATAAAAACAGTGTATCCAAATATGAGGAGAGGCCTGGTGCCTATAAGGTATTAGCTTCATCAGACTTAATACTGAGAAAATAAATCATTTCTCTAAAACAGACAGGATTTATTCGTCGTTTTCTAATTATGGTGTGTCATGCCATTCCAGGTCAAGTGCGGTAGCTGTGGAAACGGACTGGGGCATGAATTTGTGAATGACGGTCCGGCCAAGGGGGTTTCCCGCTTCTGAATATTCAGCAGCTCACTGAAGTTCGTCCCTAAAGGTAGTATCTCTGTTAGCTTAGATTAATCCATCAGTGACATACAATAACCAAACCAAGCAACCTTAGCATAGCAATTAATTGTCCTGCAAATGTTTTCTAATTCTTCTTAAACTTTATTTCTAAGTCATTTCTTGAATGAAAACCTTTTGTCTTTATCTATCCTCTTTAACAGATAAGGTTGATGGACAATAAGGTGAGCTGTGAAGAGCTGAAGGATTAGAAGCTTCTCTGTTCTGCTCTTGGTGCAGGCAATGAATGACATGTTCTGGGACAAAGTCCTATAGGAAACCCCAGGACTCTGATGAATAATGGCCTCACCAGAGAGCAAGGACGAGGGTGGTGGATGGAAACCCTTCAATTATGCACTTAACACAGATCAAACTAATAGACCTACCGTACAAAATCACACCGTAATGCAAACACAGACTTTTAATAACAAGTTGGTGTTTTCTCTTCCAACCTGTGAGAAAGAAATGAGAGAAATCTTTTGTAGAGGTCATCATGATATTTTTTTTATCGTATAAGATGTAATGATAATTAGCTTATCCTATGAAATACTTATTTTATGCAGACTGTGGACATTGTTTCCGATTGTTTGAAATAAAATAATAAAATAGTTCAAACCAAACTAGTGTGTTTGTTGTAATGCCTGACTGTAAAACAGCTGTAGTTGCAAAATACTACCTCTAGGAGGAGGTAGTGCTATTAAGAGTAGGTAATGCACAAGAGTGTGAAAGCTGCTGTTACTTGGTCTGGACATGCAAGCTTAACTGGTTTATCCTCCCCAAAGGAGGAGTTGCTCTTTTTCTGTAGGGGAGGTTGATAGAAATAATTTCCAGCCAGTTAAGTGTCAGGAGACCTGCATGTGCAAACCCTTGAAACTTATTGGACCACCCTATCCTCTAAAGCAGCGGTCCCCAACCACCGGGCTGCAGGCCGGTACCGGTCCGTCAGTCATTTGGTACCTGGCCGCACAGAGAAAATTATATATATATATATATATATATATATATATATATATGTATATATATATATATATGTATATATATGTATAATCGACGATCAGTGTCTGATGTTTTATTTTGAAAAATATAAAAAATTGCGGTATTCTCTCTTGACACAGGTTAATTCAGTTCAAGACTCATCCTATCTATAACATCCTATCTTTGTGAAGCGGAATTTTCTGCGGTTACAGCGACCAAAACAAAGCTACGGAGCAGACTGGACATCAGGAGCACACTTCGTGTGTCATTACCCCCCCCGGACGGTACGTGAAAATATTGTCTGACATATAGCGGTCCGTGCTGCAAAAAAGGTTGGGGACCGCTGCTCTAAAGTATACCTGAGTTATAGTTAAGTCTGCCAAAGGAACTTTGATTTAGTTTTTTGATCTTATGCCCACCTTTTGTTTTAGAAAAAGGTTTTAATTGAAGTATAACGAGGCCTTAAAACTCCAAATCATGATGGAAAAATGCCAAAAAGTCATGGCTTTATGAAAAAAGCCATTAAACAAGACCAAAGAAAGTGATCATTCTTCAGCTGAACATCTACTGTATACACACTTAAATGGTATTCACTGTAAAAGACACTGCAATGCTTCTAAACAGGTATTGGTAAATGACAAGAACTCAGTTTAAGTTTGAAATAAATAATATGGATAATAAATGGTCTATTTAGGTCAGGACGTAACAAAAGGTTCAATACAAGGTTGATTATTTCCTACTAGTTTTGTGAAGACAACATGTTTCAGATTTGAAATTTCTTCATCTTTTTATTTTATTAAACTCTGTGTAGAGAAACTTAACCGCCTCATCAAGCATGGTGACTTTAATCATTAAAGTAAGCATTATTACTGGTTGCTGTGTAGTAAGGGTACTGGTTAGATAACTCTGCTCTTATTGCTTTGTGTAATAAGTCACACCAAAGCACAATGGTAACATTGTTCCCCAAATGATCACAGATTGTGGAAACTTTACACTAAACTTCAAACAACATGGGTTATGTTCCTTTACACTTTTCCTCCAGACTTCTGGGACCTTGATTTGCAAATTTAATGCAAAATGTACTTTTATCTGAAAAGAAGACACTGGAGAAATGAGGCATGACTTTTTTTCTTCCTAGTCCAGATTATACACTTCTAAGTCTCTCTGCTTTTAGGGTGGCTTTAAGAAATGAATTACATTTTTGTTACCCTTCTGTGTTTAGTGACACTTTAGTGTTTATGCCCTGACTTCAACTGCAAGCAAGTACCATATTTCCATATTTTTCTATTAAACTTCTTTCTTCCTCTACGTTTTCCTATAATTCCCTTAGAAACAGCACTGCCTTTATGCTTTCTGGCTTACTGTCTTTTTTCAGCGTGTCTGTTTCTGTCTCCTCCATGATCGTCTGGGTATAACATGGTCTTTCTAAAAATTCTGGAAGAATAAGAAAATAGATTGGGTTTTCATCAGTCTACACTGTAATTGTTTAAATGACCACAGATGAAAACTTATTAAATATCACTCAGTTTGCCAAGAATTAATAAATCAAATCACTGAATTAAAGGAAATGTGTAAAGGTTATCAAATGCATGGAGATCCACCTGCACAGCCGATGAAATTAGTACAAAAGCAAAAGATTTAGAACACATTTAAAAGAAAATATGGCTAATTTAAAGCGTAGATCAGAGAGCTGACTGGGAACAAAACTGTCCCCATGTCTTTCTGTTTCTCCGGGTATTTATGTAGCTGTGAATGTGGCAATGACTTATTTTTCAGCTCTTCAAAATTCCAGCATCCTTCTTTGTTGCCTTCCTTCTCAGAGACGATCCATAAGGACAGTGTCTCTAGACATCCAGAAGGGTGCTCACTAATGGTTGAGATGAAATCACACACAGATACTATGTGCTTATTAGTAAGATGATTTCTGCCGGCTGTCTGATGCATAAAATGTTGTCTATGGTTATTAAAGTAAACAGGGATAAACAGAAATACCAGCTAAACTTTTTAAAGTGTCAAACAGTAAAACGGTTTGTATTTTTGCAGGGTGCTGCATGTACAATATAATTTGAAAACCTTCCACCATTATTTCCAGACAGTTAGTCATTTTAATGTTTTCTGGAAAGCAGAATTCTCTAAAAATCTATATATATATATATATATATATATATATATATATATTCTCTTTTTTTAATCATCTTGCTTTAACACACCATAGTTATTCAGACTAACCCTTTCTTGGTAATGTTTCTGTGTGTTAGAAACAGTTAAAGTTAAATTGAAATCTAATTTTCTCCACTGCACGGTGCTGTTTCTCTGCATTGTCCTGTTTGAAGATGAGCTGTAGAAGTAGCATTTCTGGAAAACACCCTCAAGTTCAGATCATACGAGTCCATGTCAAAGACATGAAGGAACTCTTTCCTACAGAGAGCCTCTTTTGTCGACAGGGTGGAGGAATTTTAAACAAAACCAGGGCTGTGGGGGCACGCTTGGCGGCTTTCGTGCAGTATTTAAAGGTGTCTGGGATGAGCAGGTGTGGAGCTGCTTGTTTCAAAGGGCCAGAAGATCAGAGCTGGAGATGAAAGTGTGGGTGTCATCCAGAGGATTAGGACAGGAAGTGCAAACATTCATAAGCAGCAATGCTTCTCTGTTTAAAGCACAGCCTGTTCATTTGATGTTGGGTGATTTTGTCCGTAAGGTGTGCAGTCAAAACAGTTCAGCTGACTTTAAAGACTGCACTTTTGGAAAATGCATAATGCTTTACTTGAAGTGCATTCCTCTCTGAGCCAAATGCCACAAAACTACCAGTTTAACTCCTGATGCTGCCTCTGACCTCACCTCAAGCCATTAATAAACCAATAACTTCCCTGTGACTGATTAAGCATCCTTGTTGTGTCTTCAGTAAACGAGGCCAGCTGGAACAAATGCTACATCGTCTGAGGTCTGTTTGGGAGTGGAAAGTTTAAAAAAGGAAAGAGTGACATCCTCACAAACATTGACTGTAGGAGAAAACATGAACCGTATGAGAATTTGGGGATAAAGAGGGAGGAAGAGGATGCAGGGTGGTAACTACCTTTTGCTGTTTCTGGATGGCACCGGAGCACAGCTGCATGGCTGAGAGGAAGCAGACTGGAAGGAGGAAGTGGTAATCCTCTGATAGCATCGCTCTTCCCCTGACCTCTGGGGCTCATCCTGCTTTTAACCGAATGGGATCTTTAATTACATCAAAACCGCTGCTCCTCCAAAGTCTCCTCCTGCTCCCATAGGCTGACAGCCTGCAGGCCTGACTAAACACACTGACTCATCGGCAGCACATCTTGTTTTAATTGAAACATATATGAGCTTTTTGGTTCATTTTAGATGTTTACAGGAACTGCACCTGCTTCTGTTTTTGCAGCCACAGAAAATCATGTCATCGAGCGTCCACACGCTATGTCATCATTTCCAGGTTCATCCAAGAAACATCTGTCCAGCAGTGGTGAGAGCCTTCCACCAAGGCTGTGATTACTTTGTTAGAAGAATAAAGCTTCTTGATGCAAAATTGTAACAGAAAAAAAGAGAGCCACTTTCATCAGAGACTAATATGTAGGCTGTGCAGGGTGTCTCAATACATACACAGAGGAGGCTGCTTTCCACATGTTCCTGTTGCGTTACATGTGCTGGCCAAACGTCTGTCCTCTCTCTGAAGATTTGAGGAGTAAATAATCTTTTATAAATGATAGTGGAAATACTTCAAAGAAACTTTCTGCAAGTTCAAAACATATTGTTTTTCTTTTGTCAAGACAGAAATAAATTTGCTAATCCTTTCTCCAATAGGGTAGTTTGATCACAAAAGAAAAAGAAAAGTTGTGATAAATTCATCAGTTTCAGAAAACAGATACATATGAACTAAAGGACAAAAAGTTCATCACAAAAACACATTTAGTTGATTGAATGGTGGAAACAAAATAAAATCTCAGAAAAAGGTTAAAAAAACAATGTTTCAAAATGGCAGCAGATTCAGGAAATACACAAAAGAAAACAAAATATAGTGTTGTCACATCGACATATCTGTAGGTCTACACTTGGCAAAAGTCAAGATCAGATTTCAGGAAGACATTGCAATCAAGAAAGCTAAACAAAAAAATGCCTTAAGATCCACATTAAGAGATTACAATGATGTCAGACGGATTAGGTTAAGGAGCTATGAAGGAACTCGGCAAAGAGCCAACTTAAGACAACACAGAAATATGAAAAGATAAGCAGATAATTCAATATATATTTCATATCATCCTTGATAGTCAGCACATTAAAGCCCACAGTCACTTGGAAATGCAGCATGGAAGACACTGATTGTAGCATTTGAAAAAGTTGGCTGATAAACAACCAAAACTGTTAAAGTGCAAAATGACAAGTAAGTAAATTAACAGCCAACCTTATGCTGATAGAGACATTATTAAAATAAATTCCCTTCAAATATACAATTATATTGCGGTGTCACTATTTTAATGAAGGGTTAGACTGTGTAGAGTGCAAACTCAGGCCTTCACATAAAAGTCCTCTCTAAAAGCATGAGGGCTGCCAGTGAGAAAATAAACAAAATGTAAAATTCAATGAGTTCTGCCTCTGTATTGTCAGCTTTATCATACAAT